CGATAAATCATATTATATTGTTCCTTTCAAGATAAATCAATTATGTAATTATACTCAAACATGATCCACATTCTCATGAAATTTTGAAAACTACTGTTTTCTTGGAATTCAGTCCTGGCGCATGAATTGAAATGGCCCACTTCTTGTAAATATAAAATAAGACTTCACAAATTTAATCTTTGCAGTCTCTTTACTACATCTATACTATTTTACATACAACAACTTTAAAATAGAAGACTGAATATACAGAAAATATGTTTCCCAAGATGCATTAGTAACTTGCACTTGTAACATTTCCAATAATCACCACTTGAGGGGGGTGTACATAACTAAAAAATTCTAGCAATAAGTTATACATGACATTGTTGAAGTCTCCCACTTACAAATGAAAATTCAAATAAGTTATAACATAAATCTTGTAATGTTTTGTCAAAGAAGCATCAGTGACAAGATGAAAGACAAAAGAAATGAAACAAAAGGAAAAAGGTTTCTTAAATATTAATGAAAAAAAAAAAATTACAGCGAGTTCACCCACAAGGTTTGAATTCAGGGTGCTCATATAAAATAGCACCATCTATAGTCAGCATTTGAAATGTTTTATGAACTCCAATGTCTATCTCGCCATTTCATGTTTCAATGCAGTAGTTTCAGATAACAGTATTTTCAAATTTTATTTTGTGAAAAATGATTAAATTTGGAAAATGATGCGAGGTTTGTTCACATTTACTTGTAGTACCTAACTTATAAAGTAAATTTTTTTCCAAATTTAAAAATAAAAGCCACTGAGAAGGTGCCAGTTAGATTTTGACCACAACCATAGATTTTGTACATGTAATAAATGACATTAGCAGTAAAAATCTAAAGTTCTGCTGAAATACTGAAACCCAATAGCAAGCCAAGATCATTAACCAAATTATTGTCCGACATACTCTGGCCATAATGATGCCAGTTTTAAATGTTGAGGCAAGATCAAATAGACATACCATATTTGAAGCATTTGTGCTTACATAAATTACAGGGTATTTTTATATTAATAAGTAATATTTAAATGATTCAGTATACAACAAATGTCATTTTTGGTTTATATGCGCGTCTATTGGAGATGTGCTTCTAATAGAGCAAATATGGTACATGTGTCTCTATTGAAGATGTGCGTATGGTACATGTGTCCCAATTGGAAATGTGCTTCTAATAGAGCAAATATGGTATTTTGATTGTCATACAAGGCTTGAAGATGTTGATGGAAACGTGCAGATTGCAATTAACATTACTTTGTGAAAGACAAAATTCAGTGACAGCAATGAAATAATACTTAATGTTGTAAATGCCAGCTACTATGGAAACCATTATGAGAACAAAGCATATACTGTATTTGTTCTATTTAGAAGGGCATCTCTAATGTGAACATGAGTGAACTAGCCTCTACATATAAATGTAATCTTTGCCAAAGACTTTTTTTGCATTCAAAATACAAACGAAGGATTCTTATCTTTTTAAATTGCTTTTGGTGATGGACTATATTGACTCTAAGTTTCAGTTCATAAAATTTTGTTTGGTGTTTTCATTTCAAGTATTTTCCAAGTTTGTGATATTCAGAACAGTCCACACCATGAAACAGTATATCTGACTCAGATGATTGAGTTGCAGTCCACATCACATGATAGTATGGCTGCCTTTAGTTTAACTTAGATGATCGAGTTGCAGTCCACACCATGCAACAGTATGGTTGCCTTTAGATTGACCATGGAAGTACCTTCCATGATTTGACAAGGATGATCGAGTTGCAGTCCACACCATGTGACATTATGGCTGCCTTTAGTTTGACTTGGATTAGCCAAGTATGTGAGTGTTGTGATTGGCTGAGATATTATTTCAGTTGTGGTGTTCATAAAAGTCAGATTCTCTCCAAGTTCAAATCTATGCAAAAAAAAAAAAAAAAAGTTAAACTTAAACTCAAACCCACAACTTCAGTCTAAACAATCAAACGCCTTATATGTAGCTTTGAATCACAATTAGTTACCATGGCAACTGGTAGTTACTGCCATCTGATAAAACTATCTATATACTCCTCACTGAAATCAAAATTTCAAATGCAGATCCAACAGCAGAGAGACTAGAGCCAAAGAATTACAGCTGAGTCAAGACACAAGACATGATTTGATTTGATTTGATAAAACAACCTGCCAATAAATAAGCTACTTTCTGATTGGCTTAACTTGGCAATCTTGTAACTCACTTTGACTAAAAATTGATATTTTTAGCAGACGCTGTGTAGATAACAAGAAAATTGTGTGAATATTTGAAACAATTAAAGTTATCGGTGGTAACATGACTGGCAGTGTGATAGATTAATAGTAAAATACTGTAAAATACTTTATTTTAGCTGGAATTAATTTTCGCTGAGAAGACATTTTGGGTGTTTTGTATTTATTTTCACTGATATTTTGATGAGTTGTATGTAAAATATAAGAAAAACGATATATTCACTGGATTTTATTTTCACTGAATCATTTCTTCAGCGAAAATAGCGAAAATTAATTCCAAGCGAAAATAAAGTATTCTACAGTATATGACTAGTTTATGAGAAATCTAAAATCCTCTGAAAAAAATATAACAATTCTCTGATGTGAAATACGTTGGAGTTTGCAAGGCATTGAGTTACAGAAATGCATAATATATACTGTATTTGCTCTATTGGAAGTACATCTCTGATAGAAATTGAATTTATTGTGTGCTGTAATTTAAATATTTCATACACTACTAATAAAGTAAATACATGTATGATACTGTGGAATACTTTATTTTCGCTGGAATAAATTTTCGCTGAAAAGGCTTTTTTGGACATTTTGTATGGAATTTATTTTCACTGATTTTTGATGAGTTTAATGTGAAGTATAGGAAAAAAAGTATATTCGCAGGTTTTATTTTCACAGAATCATCCCTTCAGCGAAAATAGCGAAAATAAATTCCAAGCAAAAATAAAGCAATCTGCAGTTTATGATCTTCAGATCATAATGGTATGTTTTAACCAATGAGAGAGTGCTTTATGAAAACAATCTTATCTGTTGAAGCAGATTGTAACAGTGATCCTGATTGGTTGATGGAAGATTGATTCCTGCAGTTTTACTTTATACATTACATTACAGAGATAAAGTAATCTACACTTTTGTTTTAATTCAGATAACTGAACATAAAAGTGTGAAAAATTCCTAGCTTTGTTTTTACAGCACACGACTTTAATATACATATATACTATACAAGAAATGACATCACCTCAGAAATTCTGTTCTGAGCAACTAAGAACTGTTCTATAGATATCCTAACTTAAGTTATACATATTTAAGTGATATACAGATTCTGGAAAATTGAAATGAAATACTGCAGCAAAATAAATCCATATACCAGATATAGTGATTGACAGATAATCAAATGTTACAAGTAATAGTTACTTGTATAGCATGGTACTTGGCTGAAAGATGATTCAGAAAAATTATAAAATATACATTTATGCAGCATTTTGAGGCCGCTCAGATAATTAATTTAAGTGCATAATGGAGACGACCATTTAAATTTTGCAAAAATCCATAGATTCATTTTTTTTATAAAAATAAGCCACAATTCTAATTTATGAGAAGATTTAGTAACTATGACAACAGAACCAACATTGATATGATATTTTGTAACATTATGACATCACCAACATTCAGTACAAATGAGCACCGTATGGAATCAAGTAACAGTAACTATGGAAATGAAATCCACTAATCAGAAGTTACCATGGAAACAGGATCTATATATGTATAGGTTATAGAATGACAAGCAACACAGGTTTTGATGTCAGAAGGCCCGAGCCCTATATGGGAGGCTAACAATTCCATAACCAGCTTCTAACATGGCTGCAATGATAGGCGTTTCCTGCTTCTATTTTGTTGAGAATGTTAATTTTGCCTATATTAGTGTTATTCTTTCTAGCAGCATGGAATCTGATAGCAAAATTTGAAATAAAATCAATGATACTTTGGTTACAGATCCAGCAGTTTCAAATTTTCTTTTCAAATGTTGAATACAGAAATGGCATTCTGCAATCTGATTTGTGGATAGTCGATATATGTTAAAAGTACCTTAGGATTACTACAAAAGAAATTGGTAACAAACGCAAAAATATATAATTCTTGTAAATCAGGAAGTTGATATATTTATTTTGATGTCCGTGAACCAAATTCTCGTCACCATAACTTAATGAAGAAGAGAAGAATAGATTCATATAAAGTATGTCACTACATGGCTATAGCATCAACAATCCTATAGTAAATGAATTCTCAAGTTTTCAACAGAGATCTAATTGGCATTTAGGCATAAAAAATACAACATAATTTAAATTATGCAACAACTTTGCAAGATTTTAATCAATATATTTAAATTTTCTATTTTTATTTTGTCTCAATTCAAGATTAGCATTTGAATGGACACTTCCAATGGAATAAGTGCTACAATATGTTTGCACACGGCACGCTACAATATGTTTGCACACGGCACGCTACAATATGTTTGCACATGGCACGCTACAATATGTTTGCACACAGCATGCTACAATATGTTTGCACACAGCATGCTACAATATGTTTGCACACAGCATGCTACAGAGAAACACTGGTTGAAAATTCAAATAAATATCAATGTCATTATAATGATAGGTATGATTACATCATAAGTACCAGTATAAAATGATGTCATAACAAGATACATATGATGTCATCACAAGATACATATGATGTCATCACAAGATATATATGATGTCATCACAAGATATATATGTCATCACAAGATATATATGATGTCATCACAAGATATATATGATGTCATCACAAGATATATATGATGTCATCACAAGATATATATGACAACATCAAAACTATGGTACACACAAAAAGTGTGGCACTGAGGTTTACATATTACTTTGCATTGTTAGGATTGAGATGCAGGTGACTATAAGACATACTGTGATTGGCTTAGCTAGATGCTGAGAAGCGTTGAAGTAGGTGGGTATGGCAGGTATCGCATACACGTACTGGTTTAGCGGACGATGGTAGAGGCATAGTGTTATCAGAGCAGTTGTTGCAGTAGATATCACCGCAATGCCGACAGTGATGCTGTAAAAGAAACAGATCAAGAATGAACAAATCATCAAGAGTAGTCATTGTGAATCAGCTTCCTGTCCCATACATGCCTATCATAATGTACATCAGTTTGGAAGAAAATAATAGGTTTGTTTAAATAATATTATCTGATAAATGGTAGCAAACTGTTACTGACAGTGCTGCATCAATTACATCACATCATTAATTTATCTACAATATGTAAATATAATGCAGATATAAGTAAATATGATGCTGATAAATGTAAATATGATGCAGATATATGTAAATATGATGCAGATATATGTAAATATGGTGCAGATATATGTAAACATTATGTATATATGCTGTAAATATATGTAAATACTGTACTCGACCGCGTTAGCGCCCGCGTCCATGCCCAGGCAAGCGCCCACCCCCACTTTTGCGCAATTTTTATATTTGGGTCACATTTGGCAAAGCGTCCACCTCTTCAAAATGCAACTAATTTAAAACTTGGTCTTGCCATGGTCTTGCGTAACGAATTTTGGTAATCGTTTTTTAAATGATACAGCGTGGATATCGATCGCTGTGAATACGTTGCGAATGCGTAGACCACGGTAACCGTGCGTAAACTACGCTTCGACAATGACCTGTCAATACAAGTAAAATGCGGTAAATATTTCATGCCATATTCAGTTTACCTGTCAAAAATGGCTAGTTACCAGTTTTTTTTGAAAAACCATGTCGTTTATTTGCTGAAATCAATTCCAACAGATCCGCAATTCACTTCCGCATTGCGTTACCGGAAAGTCTTCGGGAATTACCGAAGAATTGTGTTGGTAAAACACAGCATTCTGATTGGTTAATAACCAACTTGACCCATTAGGTCAAAGGACGCTGCTGCAGGTCAAATCTGCAAATGCATCATGGCGGAAAGTGATTTTCATCAAGAGTTTGCATACGATCCAACACCTTCGTCAGTGGAGATAATGATTAGAATTTTGACTTTGACTGTGTTCCAACAGACTCAAATGTTTTTAATTCCGTAAATTATGGTGGTACGTAATTAATATTGTAATAAAATGTGCATATTTTTTGTAATCATTTCTGTTTCTTCATTGTAAAAATCAATGACAACGCAACTAATTATGTAATTTGATTTTCCCTCAAAGACGCAATTACCCCCCTCAACCTGTCACATGATGAATCAAAATTTTTTATTAGCGCTCTTTCTCGAGGGGGGGGGGGTGCTCGGATAAGCGCCCACCCCTAAAAAATCATGATTTTCTAAGTTAAGGCCCCTGGGCGCTAACACCCAGCACAGTATATACAATATTATGCATATACACGTCACATTGATTGAACACAACTGGGTTACTGTGTTTATTTAATTGGCTTAATAAAACATTGTTATTGTTACCTTTGTATCATTCAACATTCATGTTTAAAAAATCTTAGAGGAATCAGTAATCTCAGTTGTGACTTGGTCAATAATTTCCTTCACACTAAATAAGTTGTAATGCAAATAAGTATCATGTAAATCTCACCTTTCGCCTGGCTACAGAGAAAGGTTTTTCACATTGTTTACAAGAACTTGCACTTTTATCGTCAGTCCAAACTTTTTCTTTCATCTGTAAATTCATTTCCTTCAAATCCTCCATCTGTAATTTGGATCTGCAAAAAATAAAACGAAAACAATGAAGCTGCCGTTGGTGTGTATTGTTTTGTGTTTGCTGTTTTAACAATAGATAACTGTTTGAAAGCGCAGAAGGTGATGACTTACGTGCTCAGATGACTTCCGATCTCAGCCAATGATTGTTCTTGTTCCTCGCATGTCACTTTTAATTGTTGATGTTCTCGTTCTAAATCTGCATATTCTTTTTTCAACGCACTCATCTGTTGTAACTCCATCTGCAGTTGTGTTAGATTCTCTCGTTCACGACTCAGATCGGTTTGTAGAGTTGTTCTCCACTCACTCTCTATTTTGAGGTCTGTCTCCACTGCTATCCTGAGAAGTCACAAAACGTTAGGCATAAACAGGTTTATAGGAAGTGACAAAAGTAGAACATATTTAGAAATAAACTTACCAGGCATGCAATGAAATACAAGGAAATACATTTTGGATTTCGGCATTCCCATGGTGTATGGTTTGCAATGAAATACAACTATTTGAACACAGAGGCCTGTATGACCTCAATTACCAGTGACCCTATATGGAATTCTAAAATAGCTCACAGGGAAGGGGGTAGTTAACAAAATAATAGCAGAATTAGCCTGTAAAGTGCTAGGGAGTTTGATAAGCCTGTGGTGAGCTAGGGAGTTTGATAAGCCTGTGTGGTGAGCTAGGGAGTTTGATAAGCCTGTGTGGTGAGCTAGGGAGTTTCATAAGCCTGTGTGGTGAGCTAGGAAGTTTGATAAGCCTGTGGTGAGCTAAGGAGTTTGATAAGCCTGTTGTGAGCTAGGGAGTTTGATAAGCCTGTGGTGAGCTAGGGAGTTTGATAAGCCTGTGGTGAGCTAGGGAGTTTCATAAGCCTGTGTGGTGAGCTAGGAAGTTTCATAAGCCTGTGGTGAGCTAGGGAGTTTCATAAGCCTGTGGTGAGCTAGGGAGTTTGATAAGCCTGTGTGGTGAGCTAGGAAGTTTCATAAGCCTGTGGTGAGCTAGGGAGTTTCATAAGCCTGTGGTGAGCTAGGGAGTTTGATAAGCCTGTGGTGAGCTAGGGAGTTTAATAAGCCTGTGTGGTCAGCTAGGAAGTTTGATAAGCCTGTGGTGAGCTAGGGAGTTTCATAAGCCTGTGGTGAGCTAGGAAGTTTCATAAGCTAGTGGTGAGCTAGGGAGTTTCATAAGCCTGTGTGGTGAGCTAGGAAGTTTGATAAGCCTGTGGTGAGCTAGGAATTTTGATACGCCTGTGATGAGCTAGGGAGTTTCATAAGCCTGTGGTGAGCTAGGCAGTTTCATAAGTCTGTGTGGTGAGCTAGGAAGTTTGATAAGCCTGTGGTGAGCTAGGAAGTTTGATAAGCCTGTGGTGAGCTAGGAAGTTTCATAAGCTAGTGGTGAGCTAGGGAGTTTCATAAGCCTGTGTGGTGAGCTAGGAAGTTTGATAAGCCTGTGGTGAGCTAGGAATTTTGATACGCCTGTGATGAGCTAGGAAGTTTCATAAGCCTATGGTGAGCTAGGGAGTTTGAATTGATAAGTTTGTGGTGAGCTAGGGAGTTATATTGAAAAATATAGAAATTGGATTAACAATTATTAAGAGACCACATGTTGCAATCTTTTCGGTCCACTCACCGTTTTGACTCTTTTTCTGCAAGCAGTTGACCCAACTTTCTAGCAGTCTCTTCTGCCGCTATTCGTTCTTTTTCACTTTGTTTTAATCTACATTTTCATTTACACCGAGAACGCGACAACACAAGAACGCACAGACAATGATTGGGAATGAAAAAGAAACAAAAAACATAAAAACACAAAAATAAAAAAAAATAGTTAGACTCATTTAGGATTCTGAGATTTTTTAAAAAACGCCGTAAATTGAAATCTGCCCACGTATTTTGACGTAAATTGTTCTCTTTCCACCCGTTTTGCCAAATTTCCTAATAATGGATTAATCCATTCAAAATTTAGGGGTGAGAAGGCTGTTTTGAATTTTTTTTTTTACATCAAGCAGGCTAATCAGATCAAATGAATCTACCATTCAGCAATTCAAAAAAAAATAAAAAAAAAATACATCAAAGGAAAGTCATTCTATTTTATATACTGTATAACACTTAGCTACACGACACATTTGTTAATTTGGCTCAATGCACAAATTTACAGAATGTTATATGTATCACCAATCTTTTGAATGAATTTGCTGCATCTTGAGTTTAGGAGAAAACAGAGCACCGGTAGCTAAACACGATACCTATCAACTTTTTATAAATTCTTCCATAATTCCATAAAATTTGTACTAACTTGTTTAGACAATGAGAAATGATGTTCATTTTGTCCGAAATCAACAAAAAAATAAAAAAAAAGTACATAAAAATGTGCAAAACACCGCAGCAAAATTTTGGCGGGAAAATTTATGAAAGATTATGTCATTGAAAGGGTTTTACAGCATATAGGGAGCACTAAAACCATCAAAGCCACAAGACAACATCAAAATTGATCAAATATGTAGTATATTTATCAAAAAAAAAATGTTATTAGCCTTTTCACCCCTAGCACAGCAAACAATAATATTTGACTGGAATCCCATTGGTACTTACTTGCTTTCTATTTCCTTCATAATATGGGCCATTTGTTTCGTTTTTTCTTCCAGTTTGCCAACCAGCTCAGTTTTGTGCTTCAAAGAACCGTCAAATTGCTACCAAATAACAACATAACACATAAAAAGTAATGAATACAAAAAATACAATTACAACAGACAAGTTACAGGTTACAACACCATCAGTTGGTTTCTGTGCAAGAATGGGGTTGGGGGTGAGGGTGGTGGGTCGATTTCTAGCTTGTACAATTTATTTGCTTGTTAGCGTGTTCTGATGAGGTATCGAAAATTTACACAGCGAACTCGACCAGCCCACACAGATGAAATTGGAACAATTTTACGCCAGAATGCGCAAGTTTGAACTTGTCTATTATTAGGATATGACAGGCCAAATGCCACAGACTCCAGCATGGCAACCATTTAAGTAAAACAAACATCGCACATAGCAACAGGTAAACTTGCAAAATCAAAGATAATCTGCATCAGATGGAAAATTTTGTGAACATGAGTTACAAGCCCTTGTTCATCAACTATTGGTTTTATTTTCAGCAAAAGTGAGAATTGGTTTTCCTCAATGGATTGTATGCAATTTTCAACAAACCAATGAAAATAAATTATATTGAGCACATTTTTCAATAAAACCAATAAATACGCACCTGCATTTTGTTGTACAAATCGATGTTGATTGATTTGATATCTTCTAATTGTTTTCTCAAGGATACTACTGTATCTTGCTTTTCATGAATATCTTTTTCTAGGAGCCTCATTGCCATTTCCATTTCTTGTTTCATTGATATCTGTAATTCTAGTTCTTTTTCAACATCCTGCAAAATATAGAAAGGTAGAAAAAGATTGACACAGCAGAATACAATCAGCCATTTTACATTACTTCACAATGTAACTCCACATTTAGCTAGCTTTTAAAACCATTATGTATGAAAATTATGTAGCGGATTCTCTAAATATTTTGTATATGTTGAAATTATTGATTAAGATTATGCTCACTTTAAAATTTTTTTGTTTTTTATGAAAATGCATCGAGTCTGTGGCACACTCATCCAGGGTAAGGGCCAATTGAGAGCCAGCATAGGAGTTAAGATATACATGTATCTACATGTAGCATAATGATTGTTGCTTCAAAGTCATGATAGGTAGACCTAAGGTCAAATCCTGCCTTAGGCTGAACAGCAAAAAGGATTGACCCCTACCCTGGGTGAGTGTGCCGCAGACTCAATGGAAAGGTCAATTCCACTGGCCGAGATTCATTCACTAACTATTGCGACTTCTGGGGAACCTTGGTTTAGATCCGCAAGTGATTGCCTTTGACTGGGGCACCGGGTCGATGCCAGGATAGCACATTGAATCGCCGTTTGATAGGGAGACAGCCGTACAGCCCTGTCATGTAGTCCCAAACATGGAAATGACTTCTGTTGCAAAAATGTGTCAGCACTAGCACTTGTAATTTGCACATGCAAAAAAAAAAAAAACAAGTCTGGAGAGACAGCAGTGACATTCAATGTCCGGAACTGTTGCCTGGCGCAAAAAAATAAAAAAAAAATTATACCTAGACTGCACCCTGGACTGCACTGTACATAGACAATGATTGTACACTGATCAACCAATCAGAGTGGAAGGAGAACTGAAACATTGTATCCACTTAGTGTTACCTGATGTTACCATATCCTTGTAAACCAATGTCTCATTGTCACACACTATACTTGCCAATTATCATAAATTACTAACTCATTACAGCACATGATGGTTGTCAGATTGTCAAATTTCAAGAATTATATATAAAACATGTCCTCTTCAGCCAGCAGTTTACAAATTTACCAAACAACACACCTCAAGTTCATAAAGCATCAAGAAGTTTATAACATGTACATGTAAGTACAAATTTTTTTAGATTGGTTCACTCTTTATACAATATACTATACAATATACGAACATACTAACAACAGAAGCAGATGACACACCTAGCTATAACACAAGCAGACGATTGACTTGCTATACAAATGACTCTGATTAGTTGTTTTGATCGTGCTGTTTACTTACGAGTATGAACCCAACCTTTTCGTCGCATTTTGCGTGAGATTAATTTTCCCGTCAAAAATACATAAAAAAAGAACTTCTAAATTGAAACACATCTTAGATGGAAACATTTTGCACAAACAGAAATTAGTACCTACATCCCCAAAGCAAAAGACCCTGTGATCAAGGAATTAATAGCACCCTCTAGTGGTGAAATCCAGTTTTCCTTTGTTTTCAACTACTCACCAGCCTAATTGTAGTTTCTTGTTCAAGAGACTTTCTAGTTTCGTCATATAATTCATTTAATCCTTGTCTAGAAGTCTGGTACGTCTCTCTTTCAACATCAATATCAGCTTTAGCAATCTGAAAAACAATTTGATGCCAAAATAAGACTAGACTCTTTTCAAAAAAGAATGTTAATACTGAATATGCTACCCTAGGCTATAACTCGTGAAGGATCACTGCTGCTCTGTGAATCAATGTGAGGTTATGGATACTACCAGAGGTACATTACTTGGGGTTTGTAACTACGGTGACATGATACCAAGATCCCGTCACAATCTCGCTCTCGCATAAGCGTTCCAACTCAGAAAAAATGCGAATGCGCATGCCCGAGGTAACTTGGATACTGGGATGTCCAGGTGGATCAAAATAGCTGCCCACGATATGACGGATTACGAGAACTATATTTTCTGTACATTTTCGATGTATTACATTTTTCACTATGATGGTGACAAGAAAAGTTTATTTTTTTCATTACAAACCTTGAACATTGATATGCGTCATGTCAGAAGGTTGTAGCCTCAGTCTCGCTATCTACGAGAAGAGACTTGAATGGGATCTTGACATGATGTCACCATACAGTACAATGCGAGTTGCAAACCCCAAGTAATGTACCTCTGATACTACCTATTAACCTACACTTAGTACCGGTAGTACATGTAAACGTCTTTCCAACAACTAATAGCATAACAGGTAAAAATGTCTGTGCAATCCTTGTCATAACAGCTTGGTGTGTGAAACCCACAATGGTGAAACCGTCAACTTGAAAATATCACATAAGCATTTCTTATTTGGAATTTACATCTTATATCTTACATCTTATAACCAAATAGTTGTTGACTCCAGTGTTATACCATATTTATGAACATACTACCTGTATACTAACTTACTTCTAATTTCTTCTGTAAATTTTGTTGTAATATTTCATTTTCTTTGGTTAATTTCTCATTAATGGCTTGCAATGATATGACATTATTATTCGCTACTGCAAGCTGAAAAAAAAAAAAAAAGTAATATTTTTAATAATAAGTAATTTTTTTTTAAAGAACAGACTAGCTATTACCTCATACATTTCCATAAAGCAGGCATTTTTAACACTGATAAAAAAGGGAAGCATTTGAAGTATTCTGACTTCGCATAATGAAATTTTGGTGCACGTTATTTTCAGACTTCTGAATTTTTTAATGTTAATGTTGAATCAAACATTAACCTGTTCACCATCAGTTCCCTCCTTTTCATCACAAATACACAAAATATTCCTGTTTAATTATAGTCTGCACTTTCCTTAAGAAGTTTGGGACAAAAATAGGCAGATATTTGAATAAAAACTGAAAATTGAATCAAATTTTGTATGTTAGCTCCAAAATTAGGGCTCATTTCCAGAAAAATGAAGATGAAAAATTAAAAAAAACTGCAGTAAAATTTTTGGCAAGGACGTCCGGTGGTGAAAAAGGTAAAAGTACCGAAAAACTTTTCCTACCACTTTGCAGTAAAAAATTTGAAATTTTAGTTTAATTACTAGGGCGAAAAATTGCAATTGGAAAGGTATATTTGATTTTAGTTTTTAATAACATGAGCTATCTCGGATGAGAAGGAATGGAATGGAATGGAATGAAATGGAATGGAATGAAAAGGAAAGGAATGAAATGGTTTGAAATGGAATGGAATGGAAGGAAATAGAATGAAATGGAATGGAATGGAAGGAAATAGAATGAAATGAAATGAAATGAAATGGAATGGAATAGAATGAAAAGGAATGAAATGAAATGGAATGGAATGGAATGGAATAGAATAGAATAGAATAGAATAGAATAGAATAGAATAGAATAGAATAGAATAGAATAGAATAGAATAGAATAGAATAGAATAGAATAGAATAGAATAGAATAGAATAGAATAGAATAGTATCCGATGGGCTTCAGAAATATCTGCGTCCTTTAGAGTGACCAATGGAGTTCGACAAGGAAGCATTCTTTCGCCGACGTTATTTT